ATACAACTTACAGTCATTATAGCTACGCAGGGTCTTTCTAGCTGTATCTAGACTGAAAGATGCCGCAAATACAGCTATAATGACTGTACGTTGTATTGGGGGGAAGAAGGTAGTCAGTTGCTCACAAAGGTAAGACAAAAGATCCTAACCTCCCCCCAACCCTCCAGCGTCTAAAAGCTGCTTTCCCCTCTTTCTAATAGAACACCTAGGCGTTATAAATGAATTATAAACTCCGGCTTTGTTCATTTGAAATGCCTAGTACGCATTTGTTCATGTTTGTGTCCTTGGGAAGAAGGTTGCATGCTCAGAATTAAACCGGCATATTCTGCAGAAGCAGCTACAGATCATGTTCTGGGCCATCTGCACATCCAGGTGCATTTCAGCTGGTCTAGCTCTTCCGTTTCCTAGCCTGGTCGGGGCTATTTACATACTTGTCCCCAAGACAGAATTTCAAACAAGAAAAATGGAGAAACTCAGTTGGGGTCAATAGACTCAATACTCTCCCCTCTGAACCCAGAGTAATCAATGCTGGCAGGCATTTTCCAGATACTGATTTTCTCCTGAATTTTCTGACTGTTTTCCGGAAAAAGAAAGCTCTAGAGTCACCTTGAAATAGACAAGAAAAGACAAAGTGGTGTCCTTGTCATTGTTTGACTTTTTCAGAACGTGCAAGTTTAGCAGGGTGTTGAAACTGTGGCCGTGTTTTTTTTTTTTTTTTTTGGAAGAATCATTAGCTTTTATTACAAATGAAATGAGGCGGGAATTCCTCACAAACAACCCGGAAGATATGACCAATGACCCTAATTGGGATGTTGCTGGAAAATGGGTCCAGCGTCCCTTCCTTTCACTGGTCTATCCTCATCTTCCAAAATCCCTTGAAGCTCAAAGTAATTTCGTGTCGAAAAAAAAACACCAAACTACTTGGTGCTAAAGTTCAGTCTGTGCCAACTACCAGATCATAGCTGCAGTGTCACTCATCGATATTAAACTACTATCAAACCGTGCTCAGTTGCCTTCCGCCAGGATCCAAGTAAACGGCTAGGCCTTTAGAAACTAAACCTACCTATAGGCTCAATGACCAGGAGCTGGGCAAGAAGAATAAGCTGTAGGGTTACCCTCTCATCATCACTGTCCAAAGCACTGTAAAGAGCATTTGTTGCGTAGACAGGTTTCCCACCACGCACCCAATGGATACAACTGTAGTTTGCTCTTCACCGGGTCTCTCATACCGTCCAACCATTAGCGTTACTCTTATAATGACTACAATCGACTAACGCTCCCACCACTGACGATGGCACTCACACTGCCCCCTTAGTGCCGCTGTCGGTAATCAAAATGTCACATCACAGTTCATATTCTTGCTGAGTGGAGGATCTACGTTATGTTTTCCAAAAATTTTATCAAACCCACAGACTACAAAAATGCGACTCCCCAACAAACCGGACCAATTAATCTACTCTTAAGAAACCGCGGACCAGGAGCTGGGGAGGAAGAATAAGCAGTACGGTTACCCTCTCATCATCACTGTCCAAAACACTGTAAAGAGCCTTTGTTGCCTAGACGGGTTTCCCACCACACACCCAATGGATACAACTCTAGGTTGCTCTTCACCGGGTCTCACATATCGTCCAACCATTAGTGTTCCCACTGCTCCTTCGTGCTAACTACTCTGATA